TATTACTATTGTTTGGTCAATGACTTCCTTGGAAAGTAAAAAATAATAAAAGGGGGGTTTCTAATTCTAAATTAATAAAATAACTAATGCAATTGAAAGAGACACTGAACAGATTTGAATGTTGGATTTTAATCAATTAATCAAAGTAACTAGGGTTTACGTGTTCCCCACAGGTCCATAACTTGATAATTCTAACTATAACAATTCTTTACTAGTATCTTGCATGAAAAGTTAAAAGTTATGTATTTCTAAATCCTTGGTACGGCATCCAGAAAATCTCACTCCACACCTTGGTCCGGCTAAGTGTGTTGCTTTCATAATCCTTATCTTTACCTCATATTAAGCATCGTATTCGATATTTCACTAAGTTATTACCTCATACCAATAAATACTAGGCTATTATATAGTATATACTAAATCTACCTCATACCTACTTCAATGAGAAAGAGTAAAATCCGAAAGTTTGCTTCATTAATCCCCAAAAATCACCAACAATCAATTATAATCAAAAGTCTAATAATTATTAAGAATATCACACTAATACACAAAGTCTAATAGTATGATGTCTAGCAATCCAGAGTCTAACCTCAAAAATGAGGTTTTTCAAACAATTTATGAAAAATAAAAACATAATTAAATAAGGACTCTATTTACTGGAAATCTGCCAAAATGCGGCTGGGTGGACGGACCTCGCGACAGATCGTCATGGTCACGACGGACCGTCATGGACTCCGTTGTCCCATACTTGTGCAATTTCTTCTGCTTCTCTTCTTCATTACCCTCGACGGCAAATATGACGGACCGTCATAGGCACAACGGTCCGTCGAGGGCTTTCGTTTCAAAACACTTCAACTCTTGAAATATGGGTACTGAGATCACTTCTGAACTTCATGACGAACCTGCAGGACAGACCGTCATAGATGCTATGGACCATCACAAGCTTCGTAACCCCACACTTGGTAAGACTTTCCCATCTTCTTTCAGCAGCTGCACTATGCTGCCACCTACGGATCGTCACAAGCACGACAAACTATCATAAGCTCCGTAGGTGGTCTCTTCTGCATTTTTTCTCTCAAAATCTTTGCATTCAGCTTTGGACAGATTTCATGCAAGATAAAAAGAAACATATATAAAAATTAGCACAAAAAGGATTTTGGACACACTAAACCTAAGGAAAAAGTATTAATAATACCGTGAAACCACGGTATATCAATATACAAGGCAACATGCATCTTTTATCTATTTAATACACTTATTCAATGAATTTCAAACTCAAACCATGACATTACACTATCATCATGCAAAGCCATATAGCAACATACCATTCAAGAAAGGAAGCTTAATTGAATTATAACAACTTTTTTAACAAAATCTAACCATATCATAACATAAACCTTCACATAATATATCATTTCTCATAAATCACATAAATAGACATAAGGGGCACCATATCAACAAAACATGCCAAAAGTCACCTTCACACATACTCATCAAACCAAAAAACCAAGATAAGCATCAAAACTCTCCTTTTCTCCCTCAAGCATAGTGATACCACCTCATCCAAGCAACCACATCTATAAGATCATTGGACAAGAGAACATAAGAGATATATCTTATAGTGTTAAGTTATATGGCACGACATGCGAATGATGAAGAAGGGAAACTGTGTCATCCTATAGCCTTTCTCTCATGGATGTGTCGCGACTCACCACCAATGAATGAGAATTTACTAGATGTTGCTACATGAAGCATTGGACCCTCAAACCACTTATCTAACGTAATGCTCTCATACCACGTTTGTCACGACCAGGGAGCACCCCTTAGAAGTAAGATGGCGTACTTGACCTCTCGGAGGTCTTATATAACCCATAGTTATCATTCATTGCATTGTCATAAGTAAATTTAGCAGAAAATTTAAAATTTTCATAACACACCGTATGCTAAACATCACTTCCACTATATAAGAATACAAGTCAATACATAGTTAGACTCTAAGTCTCTTTTTCATCCTTAAACTTAACTTCATAGAATAGAGTAGGGACACGATCCTTTATCATAATAACATAATATTTAAGCTATTACAATACATTGAATATAAACTTGACAAAGGAAATCCTTTGAACATAATGATTCCTTTCCTTGAGCTTTGGAATTATATATCAAGATTTTACCTTAGAGACATCCTTTGAGCATCCACAGCCTACACTTTGAGTAAAAAGGTAGAGAAGAATGGTGTTAGTACAAGAATGCACTAAGTATGGTAACAATGCCATAACATGTATTTAAAAGGGACATTTTACTTGACACCATGCATCATGCCTTTTTGTGAAACTTTCATAAAACCTTGATACAATAGCATATATTCCATTTACATATTTCATATAGGCATATACAATAGTCAATCATCACATAAAATCCCACATAGCATTTAAGTAACATTTGGAGTCACATTACAATCATCTAATTTCCAATTACTATAAGCTTTCTTTCTTTAAACATCATAACTTCCCAAGTAATCCTATAGTGATACTTTATGCTATGCATCACCGTAAGGCCACAAGGTACTAATACATACAACCTACATACAAACACATACCATCACAGAAGTATAGCATACCATAAGAAATATTTAAGTCAAGACTTACAACATCATTACAGTGAACCATAATTTACTTGCACATATGCTAACTTCATTTCCGTAGAACATTAGAAGACCTTACTCATAATCCTATTCTATGTCTACTAGTGCAATGTGAGTGTGAAGTCCCATAACCTCACACCTTCTTAGTAAACCTATCATAAGACCACAAGCCTTAACATACACTTCATATACCAAACATAATACAATAGTAAGCTATATACACTTCAAGTAGGACCTTAGTCACATAGTCATATTAGAACTTCATATCATGCATATCATCACATCATGCAGACACTAACACAATTTCATGCACGACAACCATAAACATATGCACATAAAGTATACGACTTTCCTAGAACTCCCTTAGAGAAATACTTGTATCACGAGTCGAAAGAAACCCCTAACAGCTAAG